TTCATCGATTCTAAATCAAATTAAAATTAACTAGATATAATTCAGTTTCAGATCTAAATTTTATGAAATTAGAATTTTCAATTCCGAACCAATGATTTTAGTTCTGATTTAAATCATTGATTCGATAATTAAAAAAATATTAATTTTGTTGGGGTCAAACGATCAAGCCCAATAATTCAAGTCTAGCCCAACGGTCTGATGAAGAGATAAATGATCAGTTTGCCCCTTTCAATAGTCATATAATAATTATATTCATGTATATTTTGATTATTTTATAATTTAAAAAATAAAAAAATAGATTTATCCCCACCAACAACCACATAATAGTTAGTTTGGGGGTTACTTTAGAAAAAATTAAAAACCCCATAAATACCCACTCAAATCTCTCATTCTTACCCACTTACTTGATTAAGCACTTCTTTCAAGTTTAAATACTCTTAAGCTCTCTCTCAAGCTTTTTTTGCTCTTTCTTGATCTGATGGCAAGTATAACTACCACTTCATTAACGAGGAGTCTTTAGAAAATCGGTAAATAAAGAAAGCCAATACATTAATATTGATGTTGAGCCAAACATCACCAAAATAGCAACCAAAATCAAGTCGGATATATTCAAGGTATACTTGAAGAAGATCCAAAACCCTGATGGCTCTTTCCATGTCATATGTAATTAGTGTCCAAGTTTTCAAGTTTAAAGAAGGAGGATATGGAATATTTCAAAAACATATTGAGAAGAAACATTGAACACAAACGAGAGGAGTCGAATATAAACTTTTGAGTACCATACTTCTCCCACTTTTTATCCTTTTGTAAAAGAAAAATCATAAAGCATTAGCTAGATTTCTCATCATTAAACATTTATCTTTTAGTTATGGTGAAAAAATCAGATTTATTGATTGTTGTCAAAAGATTTTAAATTCAGTGGCACAATGAGTTTCTAGTGCCGCTCTTACTTATACTTTACATAATTTTTATAAAAATAAAGAGATATACAAAATTTTCTTTTGAGCTTTAGGCAGTCATGTTTTCAATTGTTCTGATATTTGGAGTGATCGCTCACAAATGCAATCCTAAATTGGAGTCACTTGTTATTGAATAAATAGTGACTGAACCATGCAAAAATGTATTATTGGTTCTAGAATATTCGATGATGAACGATGTATAACTGATAATATTTATAGAATGATAACAATTATTTTAGAGGAATATTATTTAGTTTTTAAAATTTTTTCTATTGGTTTTAATAATGCATCGACAAATATTGCTTCTATATGGAATTATTAGCAATTTGTTAACTTGCTTTTGGTGGTATTTTTTTTCATGTTAGATGTGCTTATCAAGTTTTGAATTTATGTATACAAGATGAACTTAGATCTCTTGAAACTTTTCTTTCTCCTATTAAACAAACTATTTCATTCTTGTGGGTCATCCATAATTAATGAAAGAATATGACATATTTTATAAGTTAATGACAAAAAAATCAAAAGATTTTCTAGAGGTGCTCCTACCCAATAGAATTCTACATATGAATTACTTAAAAAAAATTAATATAAAAAATTATTATGCACTTTTATTACAAATAATGTTAGGTAAGTTTGTTTATATCCAAAGCATTTGAATGTGTGTGAAAGAATTTTTAAATTTTTAAATTTTTTTAATAATGTAACATATAACTTGTGTGATGTTTATTATCCAACTACATATTTTTTAATTGTTTATATTAATATTATTGTTGCATTAGAAGAATATGAACATGATGATGACTTACAAATGACAATAATGGATATGGAATTAAGATAAATAAATTATTTCATTAAAATTTCATCGATTTATTTAGTTTCATATGTTTTTTTATCATTGTATTAGATTAAATAATTTAGGTGATTATTATTAGGATCATAATGGCAGGGGTGAATTAGTGCTATAGTAATTTTTTATTCGATTTTAAAGTTCTATCGATAAATTCGTATCAGAAATATGATTACCCAAAAATATAAGTAGAGTTGCAAGTAAAGTAAACGAGTAAGAACCACAAATGAAAAGTAAGAGAAGAAATGCAAACCGATTTATAATAGTTCGGTCTCCAACCTACGTCCACTCTCGATTCTTCTTCTCTCAAGGCTACTAACTTTCACTTCCAATATTCCTTCCAAGGGGTGAAGATCAACTACTCTTGTTACAGCTTATCTCCTTTTAATTGGCTTAGGAAAGAACCTACATACTTACTCTTTTATAAGATCTCTTATCTCCTATAACTTAGAATCACCTCTAAACTCAAGAAGGATGAAGAGACTCAAACAATACTCAAAGAGAGAGCTACAACCCTTCACCAACTTAGAAATTGATGCTTCATCGTCCAAGCCTTAGTGGGTATTTATAGGCCCTAAAAAGCTTCAAATATAATAAAAAATTTTAAATCTCTGAAAATTTTAGGGTAAGGGCGGTACTATTACTAACAGCTAGTGGTACTACCATCATAACTTTTTATGCTGTAATTTTGAACTGTCGAATGATACCACTGTCAGAATTTTTAAATTCTAGACAGTGCCACCGCCACCTTAGGTGGTACCATCGTCAACAGTGTCGATAAGCATTATTTGTGTTTATCGATTGACTCAGGTGGTACCATCACCCAGGCCTACTTAAGGCTACTATTTTGGCCTTCTAATGGACCCAATTCAGCTCGGGTCTAAGCTTATTAGCTTTCTCAATAAGGTAGCATGGTCTCAGCCCAATACCAACTCAATTTGACCTAGAAAGACATCGATTAAGACTTTAACAATCCAACCACATATTCAACATATTTCAAATATTTTCAACACATTATACGCCATTCTAACATGTCATCCGATCTTCCGGCACTTCATCCAAACCTCCGACACTTCGACCTTTCTTTTGGTATATCGCTTGATCTATCGACATGTCGACTTTCCTATGACATCCGACCTTTTAACGCAATAACTGATCCCTCTAGTAAGATATGCAAACTTGTAGCATGAAGTCTAATCTTTGGCACATTGAATAATCCTCGAGCTCGACGTCCAATTTTCAAGATGATACTTTTCTTGGCATAATATCTGATTCTCTTACTTCGATAATTTGGCCTTAATGCTTTGAGTCCTTGATCGATGTATTTCTTGCGTCACTTATCTTAAAGGCATATTAGTTTATTAATTCTTCAATTGATTTCAAAATCAAAATTTGAGATTCAATAATCTCTCCCTTTTTGATGATAACAACCAATTAATGATAATTTTTTACCAAATTCCCCCTATCTATATACTAATTTAAAATATAATGAACTCAAATTCAAAACATAATAACCTTTCAGTGCTAGTATTTGAATTCAAGTCGAAACAATTTTAATCATAAATCTTAGTACTTTAAATAGAAATCATTGTAAAAATCATATGCATAATTTTAGTTAAAATATCAAAATAATCATTGTATAAAATATATGCATAATTTTAGTTAAAAATGTGAGAATAATCATTGTATAATTTCAACATCACCATCATCATATGTTAAAACACCATAATTTTTCTTGTTTAACGTACACAATTACCACATCATCGAAAAGTAAAGACTTTTCTCCTCTTTTGTTATTAACAAAAAGGAAAAATATATAAGTTACTCAGGTGGTGGTAATCCAAAATATCTAAATAAAGTATGAAAATGAGCATCAAAAGTGTCAAAGATGTTGATGAATCTATTATATCTTAGTCAAAATTTGGTATTGACAAAGCTCAATACGATCCAATCAGGCTACTATGGAATAAGAAGATGAAGAGGGTGCTGGATCCACTAGAGATCTTGCCTCAAAGGGACTAGTAAGAGGAGGAGGACTGCCACTATGTATAGGTATTTTTGGTTCAAGCTTAGGTAGAGGAGGATCAGTTCTTCTAAGTAATCTAGTCCAAATTCCATTCATTACAGTGCACCTCAATCTTCTTAATAGGTTTCTATTAATGATATTAAATCTATTTAGTTTCATGATTTCTTTGTATGGTGGAATGGTTGTGTTGTGTGTATGAAGTATAGTAATCAGGCTACCATATGAAAAGTTTTATGTCTTTCTCAAATATATCAATCATGTTTTGATGTATCAAATATCCAATGCAATTATCACGTCTTGTTATAGTCCAATACCTAGTGCCTATTTCCAGAGTATTTACTTCATCAAGATGGTAATATTTATAAAGTAGAATACTAATCATGATATAATAACATAATTTTATATTAAATAGTAATAGATGCTCATAACTCTTTAGAATAATAGTTAGATTAGGATTTCAAAAAATGATGCCTATAACCTCAGAATATGTAGTCCCAACTAACTCAGTATCCCATTATCCTTTAAAATAACAACCTCATCTTTTTTCAGT